CGAAGCCAATGTATGATGTGAGTGTTTCACGGAGGTTTGTGGAACTAAGATGCCTGGGTCTGGTCCGAGGCCATTCTCTCTGTCCTGCACTGTTGCTAGCTTCCTGACTGTCTCTGCTTCTCCTCCTGCCGTCTGTTCTCAGCACAACAGATCCTCTTGCTCCTCTGCCCAGAACGCTGCAGGGGCCCCCCTCCCACTCCAAGGAAAAGCCAGAGCTTTACTTGGTCCCCCAAAGCTGCATGCACTGACTCCTAGACCTCCCAGACCCCATCACACGTCCTCTGCTCGAGCGACACACAGCTCCCTGCTCCTCCCGGAATCTGCTAGACACGCTCGCTCTGTCGTCAGAGCCTCTGAGCTGAGTTTTCCTCTGCACGGAGTCTTCTTCCCTGTGACTCGCGTGGCTCACCGCTTTACTTCCTCAGGTCTTTTCTCAAATGTCACCTTCTCAATGACACCGTCTCTGGACGCCCTCTCCCCCAACTGTCTCAACCCCTTTTCCTCACTTCGTTCTTTTCTAGAGCACTTACCACCTTTTAAGAATTTATTTCTTTTGTTTTTCTGTCTTCCTCACTGGTTATAAGCTCTATGAAGGCAGGGGTTTGGGTTCCCTTTTGTCACCAAGTCACCCCCAAGAGCCTAGAAAAGTCCCTTGCACATAGGAACAGTAACAGCCAACTTATAGATCATGTTATTTATATCTGGCACTTTTCTGGGCACTTTACACACTATCGTTATCTTAATCCCCTCAATAGCTCTATGAAGTAACAGTTGATATTTTCTTCATTTTACTGTTGAGGAAACTGAGGCAAAGAAAGATCGTGTAAGTAGCCAAGATCACTCAGCTAGTAAATGGAGGAGCTGATAGTCAAACCCAGGCAGTCCAGGCTCCGAACCCTTATGTTTTCTGCTTCTTAGCAAGTATTTGTTGATGAAAAAAAGAATGAGTGCTTATAGCAGGAGACACGACAAGTTGGCATTGCCATGTTCGCCCATGCCGAGGTTGCATGAAAAAGAAGACCCCCCAGCCTTCCTGAGCTTGCCCGTAGGGGTGAGGAGAGACTTATGACAGGGCTGCCGTTTCAGTTGTGTCCTGCAAGCAGCTGGGCAAAGAGATGGTTCTTGTGAGCGACTGTCGTATGTAATTCAGGCCACTCAACTTTTGCCTCTGGACCCTGGCAGCTACTTGGCTGCCTTGGAATATGATCTTTAACATGTCAAGGCACCTTCTTAGGAGTCACCTCATTTTATCTCACAGGAACTATATAAGGACTGAAGGACAAATGATATTATCTCAATTTAGATGTGAAAGCTGGCAGCGAGAGCTTGAGGGACAGTGGTGAAGACCCCCAGCTGGGGCCAGAATAATAACCCAGATCCTCGCGCTCCCTCCTGCCGTATCTGGTGTCGTGGGGACACCTTCAGGCCTCCCTCTGTTCAGTTTTATCACCTTCAGACTTTCCAGATGGTTCACCAAGTCTTAAGTTCTGCCATTTTTACTATTCCCGATCCTCCTGGCTCCCGTAACAGACTACTGAGAGGATGCCAGACCAGCTCCTGGTGAGCCATGAGCAAGGGTGCCTGGAGCACCAGAGTTCTGTGAAATTTAGCTAAGCTCACCTCAGGAAGGGAACTTCAAAGATGTCGGCTGCTGTGGTTTACTGAGAAATGATCAAATGGGCAGATCCACCCTGCAGTGAGCTTTGAGGGCACTCCCCTTTGTGTAGACCTCATGGTGCCATCTTGCCCTGCTCGGGACGAAGTGCTGGGCTCCGTAGGGCCTCTCAGACTCAGCAAGTGTAGAGATGTGGCCCTCAGCTCTAACTGCCTGTAGGTGTCCTATAAGGAGAGACAGTCTATGATTATTTTTACAAGCTATAAAAGCGAGAGTTTGAGCCTTCAACATGGGTTTCCAGTTCCCCAGCCTAATCCAGGGTTGGGCCAAGCTAAGTCCTAGAGGCACAGAGAGGAGATCTCTCACTTGGCTTCCAGTGAGCTAGACGGCATGATCTGGTCTGGATTCCTGGTGGTTTGCCTGTTCTGTACAGTCGCACAGTAGGCTTTGGTGTACATTGGATTTAAAATCTATTATAATATTTAAAGGCTGTAGAAGTTATGAGATTGGGCCTTAAGAATTATAAACAAAGTTGCTTGCATTAGCCAGCCAGAAAAACAAACAACAAAGCAACACTTAACGTTTTCCAAACATCCATGCACTCACTCGGCTCTGATCAGCAAGAACTGCCCTCATCACTGCGTGTTCTCCTTCTTTCTGTTTGATGATGGCCATTCTTGTGGGATGGACAGAGCATCAAAGGCCAGCCAGTAAGTTTCCATATACTGCCAAGTAAGAGAGTGACAGCCACCGGTGAACACTGTGTTCCTTCTCAGGGGACCCCGGGTCCATGCCGTCACCCTTAGTAACAGCATCCAGGCCAGCGTCACTGTGCTGTCTGAGGCTTAGCAAGCGTGTGGATTCTGCTTAGGATCAGCATGAATCGAGGAGTCAGATAAGGGTCTTCAGCCCAGTGAATTGTCCGTCTCTGGTGGTGCCCAGGGCTGTGAGGTAGGACACTCTGCCCACCCAACCACCATACATCACTTTCAGACTATTACGCCGGACCTTAATATCTTTAAATAAACCAGTGTATTTCTATCATCTCTGAATTATGAGACCCTTCCGGAATCTCCTGTCTTCAGCTGATAGGATGCAGGTTCTACGTTTCCCAACCACCATGCAGTGGTGGATTTCTGCTGCTTAACCACCAAACCCGCTCAGGCTCAAGCGGCCGCGTCCTTCATCATAGGATCGCTTGATGTGGAGGAGCACGCGGGGTTAGCCTTACTTGACGGGGTCTAGATCCTGGATGTGAGGGGGCCTAGAACAGAGGCTAGCAATGAGTGCTCACTGCCTGCCTGCTGCCTTTCTCAGCGTGTAACAGCATCGCCTCCTTCAGGAAGGAGGAGGGAGAAACAAGCTGTAGAAATCGTCAGTATCATCGTCTTCGTTTTTCTGATGAGGAAACTGAGGCTTCAGAACATTACGTGTTTTGCCCAAAGGTTCACGGCCACTAAAAGGGAAAGGCAGGGTATACCCTCAGCTGTGTTCTTTTCCGATTTCTTTTGCTCGCTAAAAGTAAACAAGCATGGTTTAAAAACAAAAATGCAATCAATACAAAAGGCCCCTCCTGGATGCAGCCTGGCCTGCATTCCCAGGCTGCCCCCACCTCGCTGCTAAGGGACCCGGCAGTGCCATGCCCTCCTTTAGCATCGCTCCACATGACCAGCAGGGTGGGGCGCGAAACGCTTCCTCTGGGCACATGCACCAGTTCTGGAAGCCCCGACCCTGGGATTGTTCATCAGCTCCTTGTCTACACAGAGTGAGGAAAGGAAACAGGAGGAAAAATAAAATATTCCGGAAGGACTTACATTGAAAAGTAAATTTCCTTACCACGCCCGACCCTGTTACTCCTTCCCCTTCTCAGCAGTGCCCACGCCAGCCAGAGATTCGTCCGGGAGCAATGCACGTGTGTGTGTATCTTTTTGTCTCTTGCCGCAGTGCTCGACAGAAATGGAAACACACTAGACACCCCCTTCACTCTGCTGCTTTCCCTTCTCAGTATGTCCCGGAGATGTCAGCCGGTGCACACTTGTTGCATTTTTTGGTATTGTTTGTATTTAAACAGCTAGCTGTTTAAATACAACCTTTAGATTGTGTCAGGCCTTTTGCTTCTGTTCTAACAATACTGCTGTGACACTTTGTGTCCTGTGTAGGTTTCTTTGCACTGCGTGTCCCTGTATGTCCATCGGGTGAATTCCTACAAGTGGGATTCAGAGCCCAGGATCCTGACCACCACTGGTGGACACGCCTCAGGGCCAGCACGCCCCCAGAGGACTTACGCATGGCTCTCAGTTCCGGCAACAGACAGCACCTTCCACGGGTTGAGCAGCCCAGGGATTTGGGGGAATTTTGTGGGCTTCTGTGCCAAGGTTCAAGAGAACACACTCTGGTGCTGGGGGTGCATGAGTCCCCACCACTCGGGCCTGCTTGGGCTTGCTCCGGGCCAGCTGAAATGACAGCTGAGGGCCCAGGGCAGGGAAAGCGTCCTGCTCCTCCCCTGCCTTTCCCCCGCCCCACTCCATCGTTCTTCTCACCGCTCAGGCCGTCGTTCATCGTGCTGCACAGGTCCCTTCCTTCTGCCTGGCCCGTGTCTTCCTCGGTCGTGCTCGTTTCCTTCACTCCTTCCAGACCCCAGCATGGTTGGTCCTGCCCCATCCTGAGCACCCCTCCACCTTCCGAGCTGGGGGGCGGCTGTCTTTGCAGCGGGTACCGGGTTCTTCACCTCCTGTCACGCTTGTCCTCAGACAGTTTCTCTAGCTGTTGAATTGTGCAGCAGCGTTGTAATTGTTTTCAACCAACAAGCCCTGAGCACCTGCTGAGGCCCTGACCCCGTGATGGGTTCTCTGGCCCGAGTCTGCAGGCTCCCGGCTCTGCTCCTTTGCTTTGCAAAGTTGAAACTAGTGCTCACTGAAAGGTGTCGTATTAGGTAACTGCCAAGTTAGGTAGACACTGAAAATGTCTTTGGAATTAGAGCAAGGGAGCAGAACAGCTGGTGAAGCTGGGCCTAGAGATGGGCCTTCGAGGGCGGGGGCTTTAAAAAATAGCTGGATTGAGTAATTGTTGATGGTAATAATAATGAATAGCCACCGTTCCTGCAGGCAGGATGCTGTGCACCTGATGTGTGTTACCTCTTGGCCTTGAACCGGGGTGGGAGATGCTGTTGTTGTCCCCCTTTCACAATTAGGGAAGCTGGTGGGTAGAGAGGCGAAGGACGTGTTCTATGGAAGCCCAGTTCCAATGCAAGTCTGTCTGGTTCCCAACTTCTCCCTTTGCTGCTCTCTCACAGTGGGGTGCCTCCCCTTGGCAGGCCTGCTTGACAGGCTCTGAATCCCCAATTGCATCCTTGCTCCCTGGGCTGATGGCTTCGTTGTCATTCTAGGACTTCTGCCACGGGCAGGTGATGTGGCCGCCCCTCAGTGCCCTGCAGGTGAAGTTTGCTGAGCCAGGCCAGTCCTGCAAGCAGGTGTGCCAGGAGAACCAGCTCATCTGTGAGCCATCTTTCTTCCAGCACCTCAACAAGGACAAGGACATGCTAAAGTAAGTGCTGGGGGGGTGTGGAGGGCGGCTCAGCCTCCAGCTGGCCTCTGGGTTAGAGTTGGGTTGAGAGGGACGAGGTTTTCATTTCCAGGCTTGTGGGCTGTTGGGAAAAGATTTGGGAAGGGGAGGAGGTTGCAGCATGACCCCCTGCACAGAGAAAGTGAGGCCAGCATTTTTCTTGTTAGGTAGGTGAAGTCACCTGGCATGCTGATATATTTAGAATTCAACTGGGGGTGTTGTATTCACATAAATAACCGTTTCTGGGCTTGGAGACTGTGGGAGATGTGCAGTTTGCTGACGTTATACAGAGGAACCGTGGGAGCAGAGATGGACACAGAGCCACAGGCATGGACAAACCCCCTCCCCAGGGTCCCCTTACAGTAGCCAGGTCCCCAGACGGCCCCCAGCAGCAAGGAGGAGGCACAGAACTGCCCACAGCCAATTCCATTGCCACCTCCCCCTCCTGCAGCCTCTGTCCCCTTTTGCACTTTATTCCAGCACCTCTGGAACATGGTGCATCGCAGGGGGCGTGAGCAGGCCCCGCTCTGCCGGGTCCCTTAGCAGGGAGGTGAGGGTAGCACCAGGACTGCAGGTCAGAGCTGCACCCAGGAGGGGCCTCTGTATTGCTGCAATTTTTTCCCTTGTGCTCGCATAACTTTTAACGATGTCATTCATTTCCTTTGCATTGGCATTTTGAGTTTGGCATTTAGAGTTCCCAAATTTCCACGTGAGATTTCTTCTGGCCTGACTTATGACCCCTGTCAGTGCTAAATCTCGGCTCCCAGTTTTTATCACTCCCCACCCTGGGCCACATATTGCTGAATTACCTAGCCTCCCCTCCCAGCCCCCCTTAATTGCTCTAAGTAGGTATTTCCCCGTAAGAGATTTGCTATCCCACCCCTACATGTTCAGTTGAGCAGTGGTAGGGTCCCAGTCTTGAAGAGGATGTTTAAGGCATGGAGTGGCCTTAGGGCTCGTGTCTTGCCTGTCCCCCATTCTGGCTTCACATCCTGTTAGAGTGCGTGCTTGGCTGCTGTGGTCGTGTGTGGTGGTGTGAGCTGGCCTGGTCCCGCCTGTCAGTCTTCTTGTCTCCAGTGTGGGATTACACCCGTTTTAGAGAGAGAGTGTGGCCTCTGGCATCACACCTGTGGGGAAGCTCTCCTGAGTAGGGATGCGGCATATGTTATTTTTTTTCCGTTCTTTTATGTGAAGACCAGGCTCAGAGGCTGCCTTGACTCCACCATCACAACAAAAGCCAGGCCAGAAGAGAGTCAGTGTGGCACCCTGCTCTGCGACCAGTGAAACTTTGTGAGAGGGGGTGGTGGTCTGATATTTATGGAATGCCTAAATGGTACTAGAAGGCTCCATTTCCATAGCACATATCCTGAACCTCTAGGGTTCCAGGAGGGGCTTCCCACTGACTCCTTTTGCAAACAGCTCCTGGAGCAAGGTGACTCTTTGAGAACCCACGTTTCTCTCTCTGTTTGTACCGGAAGTCTGGACTCGCTGGTAGGGACTAGGGACCGTGGACATAGAACTGTCCACATGCAACCCTGCGTCCACCTCTGGAGGAGGAAACAGGAGAAGCTGCAGCCCGAGAATGGAACCCAAGTGGGAGTCCTCAACAGCGCGGTCCTTCCCAGCCAGGCGGGAGTCAGGCCTCCTGCCTGGGTCCTGTGATACCCAGAGACAGCACAGGGCCCCACACAGCCAGCCTGTCTCTGGGGCAGAGGTCTCGGTCCAGCGAGTGGGGGGGAAGGAAGGAAGGGGAGCCAATGGGCCAGTTTCCTCTCTTCCATCAATTTTCTCACCTATAAAATGAGGACATCCTGGATGATGGTGAGATAATGTGCAGCCAGTGCTGGAGACAGGGCACAACAGCCCGTTCTCCCAGAGAGCTTTAGGCAGCAGAGTTGACCTGAGGTCGCCAGGCCGAGATCATGGAAGTCAGTCCCCTCCTTGGCCTCCCTGTCCAGCCCTGTATACTATGCAGAGCCCACGAGAGCAGAAGGCCTTGGTGTCGGGCTGTCCTGGGGCCAGGCCTATGCCATGGGGTTGTGCCACTGTTGATACGTGGGTTTCCTTCCTAGGAGGCTGCAGTGAATGCTAATTTTGCAATAAAACTGCCTGAAATTAATTCTTTGAACATAAGAGCCCTATTGAATATCTCGTTCCTACATCTGTGAATCCTGACAGTGTGGTAAAACCCCAGCTCTCCGGCAGGCCCTTGAGGGCCTCCTCAGGATGGGGCAACCCTGGCCCATCCATATTCATGGCCAGTTAGCAGCGAATGGCTCCTCTAAGCCAGTCCTGCTTTTTATTCTCCAACTTGGGGCCTGGTTCTTCCAGTCTCTGGAAGTCCACAACCTTGAAGAGCCACCTGTCCTTGTTGTGTGAATGATATCACATCAGTCGAGCCCTGTGGAGCACCCCGTGCTGTCATCTTGAATCAGGGAGAATCAGGCAGCTGGGCTCTGAGCTCCTGTTCGTGCAGGGTGTGGCGTCAGTGACGGAGAGGGGACTACACTCTCCCATGCACAGAGCATGCATGACTCAGGTGAGACCCATCCTCCACCCAGACCAGGGCTGGGGTGTCCGGAAGGCAGAGGCTCTGGGAGGAGCTGGAGTCCATGCTGGCGTGGCCCTGTCGGGACGACGTCCTCTCCATAAACAGGGACACATGTTAATGTGAGACCCAGCCTGTAACATTGTTTCCTTTTTCAAGTTGTCTCTTCTAAAGTATTAAATTATGAGAGTTTGGGTTTCCTTTGTGAAAAAGGGAAGTCTGAGCCACAAAGGCTAGAATGTGAGCACTTTGGTGTCTGAGAGAAGAGAGATGGCCCTGAGTCAGAGTGATCCCGGGAGTCTGGGGGGACCCGGCAGATGCAGGGTTGGAGTGAGTGGGAGGGGAGGAACTCCAGGGCAGGGAGGAGGAAGCCGTGACTGCAGGTGCATGGCGCTGCTCCCATCCCTTCATCCTCCGTGTGTGCGACAGACATCACAGGAGCAGCCACGGGCACACCCTGAAAAGGCAAGGCATCCATCGGTGAGGGCGCAGGGGTGAGGATTGCTGGGCTGTGGAGGCTGTCTGGTTTCAGAGTGCACTCCAGCGAATGGGGGAAGTCACCTCACCTCTCTGATGACCTTGCTCACTAGTTAAGCAAGGATGAGAGAGTAGCCATCCTGACTGCCCAGGGCTGTGGGACAGGGACCTGCATGCTAATACATCAAGGCTGCTCTGGGTGCCCACAGCACTGTTTCAAGTGCCCCTTAGGGAACTGCCTCGTGGCGGGTCCCCTGTGGTTCCAGGGAACATGTGCTGCTGGAGTGCTTTGTGGGGTCTTTAGGCACTGTCCCTGGGCTGGCTTCCCTGCCGCAGCCTCGGCTGAGATGTGCTCACCCCCAGGGGGCTGTGCCTGGATGGAGTCTGAGTCCTGGTGACCTGGGGCTGGAGCAGGAGGGTTTCTTCATGGCTCCTGACAATTACACTCCTTGCCCTGAGGTCTGAAACTAGTTGTAGAGATTTCCACACTCTGGTCAGCAGTGTGCCAGGCAGATGGCTTGAGTTAAAACATAGCAGCTGCTATAATTCACCTACGTAAATAAATAGCATAAGCATACATCTGTACCCCAAGGCCACACTCCATATGGAAACTTTTAGTGCACAGTTGAGCTCTGGAGACCCCTTCTGTGGGTTGACAAGTAGGAGTATCCTGTGAACGACCTGGTAGCCCCAAATCTCTGACTCATTTTTCCTTTAGGAAATCCATAAAATCCCCACTTCCTGCCCTTGCCTTCATGGGGTCCATGACCTTAACCCTCTGGGCACCTCCATCTCCCAGCCAGCACACCAAGACCGATGGGTTAGGGCATTTAGAGAGGTCGCAGAGCTCCCTGGTGGCTGCGGGAGCAAGATCAGAGCGGGCACTGCCCTCCAGGAACCAGGCTGGCAGCCCAGAGCCACCAGAAGCCCCAGCAGATGTGCTGGAAGCACCAGATTAATGTTGGGAGGGGCAGGCAGGGCCCAGGCAGTGGTTTGGCTGGGGGAGGACAAGAGGGCGCAGGAGTAACAGGCAGGGGGAGTTAATGATGCTTTTCCCCCACATTTGGAAGCTTTCCAGAGGCAGCCGGAAACCTTGAGCTTCCCATCTGGATCCCCACCCCGTCAGCAAGAGTCGAGACTTCCATGAACAAAGCAAAAGGGAAACAATTGGCATCTATGTAAATTCACACCGTAGGACAAGGGAGGAAGATGGCATAGGCAATCCAGCATCTGCCAAGGCAGGGTGACCATGAGGATGATGGTGGTTGTAATAACGTAATAGTTCACTTTGACTGAATACTTACCCAGAGCTAGACTCTGCCAAGTACTCTATAAGCACTAATTTAATTCCTGGTCCTCCCCTGTCAGCTAAGGATTATGTATCCCCATTTCACAGAAGAGGAAGCTGAGCCACAGAGAGGCTCAGTCATTTGTCCAGGGTCACACAGCTCATCAGAGATGAAATCAGGACTCAAACCCAGGTCCGCCTGGCCTCCCTACTCCTCCTCCTCTGAACTGGTCCCCACCTGGCACATGGGACAGCATGCTGGACACCTAGTGAGGCCTCGTTGTTCTGAGGGAGCCAAAGTGGGTGGGACCAGTGTAACCCAGGCAAAAGGAGAAGATACAGACTGGGGACAGGAATATGCAGTGGTCCCAGCCTGAGAAAGCAAAGCCACAAGGGTCTCCAGCCCACAGGCAGGTCAGCTGTTAGGAGAAGATGGCAGAGGAGCAGGAGTGTGGGCTCTGGCTCAGGGCCTGGGTGCTGATTCCTGCTCCTTGCATCCAGAAGCCTCAGGCACTTACCTCACAGATGGGGAGGCACTGCTGCCTCGGCCAAAGGTGGCTGCTGGGGTCCAGTGGGTCAGTGCCCTGGGACAGTGCCTCCCCCCCAGGGAACCATCTGATTGCTCTTCAGTGGGAGACTAAGGACATACCACAAGAATCTTTTCAAGCTGTTAATAAAAAAAATTAAACATCAGGGATTTTTTTTGGTGAGGAAGATTGGCTCTGAGCTAATACCTGTTGCCAGTCTTCCTCCACTTTATATGGGACACCACCAACAGCATGGCTTGATAAGCCATGCTAGGTCCACGCCCAGGATCCGAACCTGTGAATCTCAGGCCACCGAAGCAGAGTGGGCGAACTTAACCACTATGCCACCGGGCCGGCCCCAACATCAGTTTTTTAAAATATTTGAATAATACACATCTTTGCCCCACTTTGACTCCTCAGAAGTAACCAGTGTTAAATCTTTAGTGCGTAGCCTTCCAGACTTTTTACATGCACACACACACACACACGTTGATCGCACTGTCCATCCCGTTCTGTTATTTGCCTCCGTCAAGGACAGCTCTCCGGGCCGGGGCTTGCATTTTCTGCCCCCTCCTTTTTCAAGGGCTGCATAGAACTCTGAAAGCACAGATAGGCCATATCTATTCAGCCATTCCTCACTTGGTGAGTATTCAGGTTATTCCAGTTTTTCTCCATGACAGACAGAGCTTCAGCAGGCAGCCTTGAGCACACATCCCCGCACACATGTCCAGGCACACACATGCCTTTCTCCAGCCTGGATGCCGCGAGGTGGAGAATTGCTGGGTCAGACAGTGGCTGCCATCTCATTTCCACAGCAGGAGAACTGAGCCACACCACAGCAGGTGGGCCGAAGGAGCCAGTGACAAGGACGGTCCCTGCGTCTCCAACCCATGTGCCTTTCTCTTCCTCTGCAGGTACGAGGTGATCTGCCAAAGCTCAGAGCTGGCCAAGGACATCCTGGTGCCCTCCTTCGACCCCAAGAACAAGCACTGTGTGTTTCAAGGTGACCTCTTGCTGTTCAGCTGTGCCGGCGCCCACCCCAGGCACCACAGGATCTGCCCCTGCCGGGACTTCATCAAGGGCCAGGTGGCTCTCTGTAAAGACTGTCTATAGCGGCCACTGGCTTAGCCCGCACACACTCTGCTGGGGAAGATGGTGGCTCCATCTGGCCACTGGGGGCAGACGTCATTCAGGAACTCTCGCCAGAGCCCGGACTTCTTCATGGAAGATTTTGACTTGATATTGCTCCTCCCATAATGGAGCCTCCCAGTAGGGTTCTCACCAAAACGAGAACCAAAATGGCTCCCGTCGAGAGCAGCCGTCAGGCCCCAGCCAGGAGCCTGGCTTCTCCCTGGCACAATTTTGTTTTTCTTATTTGAGGAGCAACTGTAGGGAGACTGTCAGTGCAGCTGCTCCAGGGTAGAAAGAGAGTCTAAAGGTTCATTTAAAACAAAACAAAACCAGAGGAGGACTTGAGCTGGTTGGAAGGAACTTTGTGTGGGAACATTCCTAAACCCATTAACTTATTTATTTGGGAGGGAGGGTGGGGAACCTGGGAGGGCAGAGAGGGACTGATCACACGTCTTGCTACTTCTTTGATTTTTCCACTGTTTACCACCCACCTTCACTATAATATTATTCCTGTCTGCTTCGGATGGGGTGCGCTCTGGGGATGGTGGCCGCTTGAGGGCAGCTGTGGATCCTCGAAGTGGATGGTGGCGGAACGAAAGAAAATCTCGTGTGTGTGCTTGACACATGGCAGCTAGGGGACAGGCCTGTGTTGTCCAGAGAGCCCGGCCGGGGACCAAAGACAGGGCTGCTTTGCAGTGAAAGGCTTCTTTTCTCTGTGTCCCCTCCCCCTACGCACACACCCTGGCCCTAATTTCTGGTTGGGATCCTTTTAGGAACAAAATACAAGAGTAGGGAATTGACATTTGCTAGTCTAGTAAATTCACTCTTCCTCACATGCCACCGGGAGGAGAAAGGTAGAAACTTGAGACTAAAAGAGCCACTCTTGGAGGTCATGCTCTTTACCCCCTAAGAGTCTTTGAGCAAAGATTTGGACAGGGGTGAAGCTGGCCCCTAAGAACCGGTGGCACCATCAAAGCTGGGCTCCAGACAGGTGGGTTTGTGTTCTATTCTCTCTAATGTCGGGTATCACCCAAGTCCAGGGAATGGGGCTGTTGGTGAACTTGATGTTGGCAGGGTGGGGAGCAAGGGCAGGCCAGGATGAATGCAGCGTGCTGTCATGGCCGCTCACCCGTGGTGTGGGTGTGGGTGTGGTTTGCAAGGGGTGGGAATCTGATGCTAGCTTTTATTCCAGGTTGAACCCCCTTCCAAACCCTGGAGTCCCTGTGTACTGCCTTTGTGTGAGCTCCCCACCCCTCTGCTTCAGTGCTCTTGGTGTGTGTGTCTGTGTATTTCCTGCGAAGCCCTGGCATCCCAATGCTGGTAAGAGTGAGCCCTCTTTCCCCTCTTGCAGAATATCCCCATTATGAGCTGTCCCGTGATCCACCCAGCCCTCACTGGTGGTTTTGAGTGCCTTGGTTTCCTAGCTCCATGCTCCACGAGGGTAGCCCTAGCCTCCTAGCACCTTGTGTGCCCTGGGGACAGCTGGGCAAGGCTAATGGCTGGATAGGCCTTTGGGAAATGAAGCTAAAGGAAGAATACAGAAGGAGCTGGAGCCTTTAGGTACAGGAAGTTAGAGTCATCCTGCTTCTCCGTTCTTTCCTGGTACAGAAATAATACCAAATGCACAGCCAGCCTTTCTTTCTTAGACCCTCGGTGGGTCTGAATTGCACCTCCAATCCTGGAGAACAGAGGGGGCTGAGGGGAAGGACGGGAGCAGCCAGGGTCTCCTCCACCCCTCAGGTGGCCCCGAGCACCTGTGCCAGGGAGAGTGCTGATGGGGAGGCCTCTGCCCTGAGCATCAATGCAGGGGCCCCTCGTGAACTGACTGAGAACAGTCTCTGCCTGGGCCTAGCAACACGGGCAAAAGTCCAGAGGGAACCTTGGTGATGGAGTGTGAGTGAATGTGTGTGTGTGTGCTCCCGTGTGTTGTTTTAAGCTTTGTAAGGGCAGTTTCCTGCAGTAGGAGGAGAAACAACTGCCCTCCGTGCTGTGAGGAACCACTTTTCCCTGTGAATGGGTTTCTTGTCTCCACTCTAGGTTCTGGGAATTCCTGTGAGCGCCCAGGCCTGCGATTCCTGGGCCACCGCTGCCCTCTCCTGGGCTCTTCTGGGAGCTTCCAACACCGAGGCTGTCAGTGCAGGCATTCAGCCAGCAGGGGGAGCGTGCGGGCCAAAACGCATTTCCCTCGCTGGGCTAGATTAACCCATTTCAAAAAGAGCTGTTTAAAAAGCACAGGGACTGAAAAACCAAGGAAGCTGGAGAGCAATGTCTTGTGGAAAGACGCTGTGCCTGCCTTGTGTCCCAGAAGCTGCAGGGGCCGTTCGCTGGCTGTCCCTGAGCCTCGCTCCCTTCCCATTCCTCTTCTCCAGGTCAGGCCGCCTAGCAGAGCACTTTCCCCACCTGAAGATCCCGCTGGCTTCCCCTAGTCCCGTACTAGAAGGAAGGAGGCTGGAATGCCACTGGTGGGGCTTCTGCTCTCGTGCAAACGAACCCACACTCCAGTTGTTGAGGGCATTATGAATAGAAGCGGTGACACCCAAATATATCCTGGCTCCTAGGCCTCTACAGACTTGGCCAACTCTGGTCAGTGGCCCACGAGAGGACATTGGGGAGGGGGCATGTTCCTGCCTGCCCTGGGAGAGGGAGGCACCTCTCAGAGTGAGGGCTGGGAGCCCTTGCTGGCCTTGCCAGGGCCCCTCCTAATAGAAACCTAAACCAATTTGTAATTGAGGACAGTTCCACCTAAGTCAGCATCAGCGTCTTCCTGTGCTACGAGCATATCTTGCCTCGTCTGTAAGTTTCTGTACATTTTTTTCCTAAGTGAAATTTGGCTCCCCCATCCCCACCCCACAGTGTGATCTTAAGTTCTTAAAAAACTTGAGGGAAAACATTTATCTAATTTATTAAAAGAGAGAGCGTTCCTTGAAACATATACGCTTTCAGGAGCAAACTCCTGAAAGAGGAAACACACTTCTTTTAATGCCAGCGAACACCTCGCTTATTTCCTGTATGTGATTTGGTTTGCACATGTACAAATGGGGAGAGGCTTTTTGCATTTTTGCCTAGATTGGGTTTTTGTCACTGCTTATAGTTTGCTTTTTTTGTGTTTGCTTGGAAATATTGAGTGTTTCTCAGATGCTGTTTATTGTTTCTCTGCTGTGCCTTTTCACTTTTCTTTGGGATTGGTTTTTGGAATCTGGGTGCTGTTGAAGGAAGAGAGCAGACTCCTCCAGCTTGGAGGTAGGACGTGTCCTCTGTCACTGCAGACGCTCAGGCTGGACGCCAGAAACGCCCTCCAAGACCCCTAGGACACAGCATACATGCACATACACCCCCACGAATCCGTGAGAACCCCAAGGTTCTCCCTCTAGACCAGCCCAGGCCCTCTCAGGCTGTCTCTGGGGCTGTCTGGGGAATGCTGGTTGCCAGTGGGCCTGTGTTCCCTGCCACGCGGGCACTAGGTGATGTGTGGCCGCAGCAGAAGAGCAGCCACATCTGAGGGGTTGCCCTGAAAGGAAGCAGGCCCCACTGGGCTCATTAGTAGCAGTGGTCCCAAAACACTTTATCTAGTTAACATAAAGGAGACAGAGTAAGCACCCCATTTTTTTCTGTTTCCTTGGCCAACGCAGGGTGTGATACAGGTGACAACTTAGCTTCCCTTTGGGAGTAGAGCCCCAGTGCAACTCACTGGTCGTGGAGGCATAAATTTGACAGGTTGAGTTGAAACTGTGCTGTTTCTAGGTTGGTTCGTGCTTTTTAGACCAGACCAAGGCAGGCCACCCCATTTCTCCAAGGTGGTTTACCTAGGTTGTGTATATAACTGGGACATTGCCGTCCTCTCCCACGCCCCCAGAATTCTTGATTTTAAGGAAAGAGAGTCTATTTTGTTAACGACAGGCTCTGTTGTATCTGTTACTATTCCAGGCCTGGACTGTTTTATTTATTTAAAAATATTTTAATTTCCACATTGGCTTCATTCTAATCCCGTCCATCCCCATAGGGCTACAGAGCACCTTCAAGTGAAGAGATGGATGGACATAGATTCAGACTTCTTTAGAAAGGTATTTCCTAAAGCTGAGAGTGAGTTCCTTTCATTCTTGTTGGCTTCAACAAAAAGTAGAAAACCAAGTTTTTATAGCAAAAGGCCAAATTAGCTGTATAGTCTCGGATGCAGAAAAGAATTACCCTAGCTTCCTTAGCCCTTAGGGTTTTTGTGAGGATTCAGTGTTTAGCAGTGTCTGGCATATAGTAAGCCCTAGTAAATGTTAAATATTGTTGTTAGCATTTCATAAAATTTGAGAAATAAAGAGCTGAGCTCCCTCCCTATCTGTTGATTCAAAAGTAATCCCTACATGAAAATATTACTCCAAATTGACAGAGTGTTGTAGGAATGCCTGGTTTAGGATGTCCAAGTCTCACGCCCGCCCTGCTGGTTGGAATATTACCATCTCCCTGATACACTGGCTGATTTGAAAATATGCCTGACCTCAGCCCCCGATGAAACTAGGCTGCAAGAATTTATAAACTAGAGATGACAAGGGTGACCTTTGGCCACATACTGGATCTCACCCCACTGATGTCTTTTGGACCACTCTAGGGGTTTTCTTTGCAGAACTTTTTGAGCTAGAAATAATAAAATGAGTTTTCTCACAGACCATACCCCCAAAGTCAAAGTTAACTATATTCCTCTGAAATGCAACAATAGTGACTTTTCTGTTTTTTTATTTAAGGGGAAAAGAATGACCAATGAACTTACTCATTCTGTTCTGTCCCCTGGTGGCCTGGGTGGCCCCTCCACAGTCCGAGCCACAAGGGTCAGACTCCTGGGCTGGTTGGCTGTCACATGTTTCTATCAAATGAGAACTTAATTCCATACCCGCCCCGGGGGTGGGGGTCATCTTTAGAACCACTCCCAGAGGCTGCTAGTCATTTAATGATGTTTCCCCAAATCTCCTAAATAGCGGTTTGCTTCTGTTTTATTGGAGTGTCAAAGTTTTATCTCCTCTCCTGTTTGGCCCCATTCTGGACAGACTGCAGTGGTGGAATATGGAGGACTTTGCTGGAGTCCTGTCTTTTTAAGATCCTTTGGATTCTCTGAGGCTGAATCAGCAGTCTATACTTCTGTGGATGTAACATTAGAGTTTACCTTCTTCCAAGCATCACTCCCTCTATCCCAGATTTTGTGAGGCCTTAACATTATCTCCCCCCACTCCCCGCCCCCTGCAGCTGATGAGGCCTGGCAGAGGGACGAAAGGGGAGCCATGTGCTCACACAACAGGCAGGCCCCTGTCTGGGGGGGGCCAGTAGCAGTGGGTGTTCAGAGAGCATTTGCAGCGCTGGGGTCTAAAATCCTCGCTGGGCCAGCAGGACAGGAACTTAGTGCAGTCTTCCACCTCCACCAAAGCTGAGATGGAGCAAACTTGGGAAGGATTTTGCTCCCTGTCGTGCCCAAGTATTAACAGGACCATACGGAACAATCGATGCCAAAGGAGATGGTAACGTCCTCTGTACTGTAGTTGCTGTCACAACCTTGATGTCTTTCTTTAAGCTAATGGCCGTTTACGTCTGTGTCTTCAACCAGCTTCTGGTACAACCATTTTTCTACTGTTTGCTTCTGGGGTTAAGTAGTGCAGGATTCTGCAGATGAGGTGTCGCTGTCCAAATGTACTGTACCGGTATAGAAGAACACAGCTTTGTTTTCCAATGTTGTAGAGAAAACTAGGGAGAACTTTATTTTTCAATAAACTTTTCTTGTGTGACAAGTGGAAGTGATTTTTGGGGGCTGGGTGGGTGCAGGGTCCTCTGCAGAACAAAGCCCAGCTGTTGTCCAGGTGCATCCCCCCCGCCCCCTGACACTGGCATCCCAGACTCCGTCTCACCATTTGCAAATACTGCTGAAGATGCCGATAGGATGGTGTGTGTAAGGAGTGGAGGGGAAGGATTTTGCTGTTGAGTATTCTCTCCCGTACACCACATCCACCAATACTAATTTCAGAGCACCTAAAGGAACTGAATTAGAAAGTGGACTGGTAGATTTTATGTGTGTGGTAACTGTGTACTACATCAGATGTTTAAAAGTCTTTAAGGATGCGCTAGTAAAATAGCCCTAAAAAGGCTGTCTGAGGGCCTGTGAGACCTGGAATACATTCCCCCTCCTCACAAAGAGCTCTTTTTGACCCGGGGCTCAGTGGTCCATGAGCACTTGGTCAGGCACATGCCCTGGAAACACAAGGAAGGTCAAAAGTCCATGCCCACACCAAGGGCTTGCCTGTAGGTGATGCTGGAGGGCCATGGCTCAGCCCTCATCAGCACAGCCTCTGAAGACAGGGAGCTCCTGGCTGCTGCCCGGAGTGGAGACACCATGCAGTTTCCTTAGCGTGTTTAGTGGGACACAAATCCCGAACAAGGTGCCAAGAAAAACTTGAACATGTAAGTTTAAGGGCTGCTACTTCATAGCTTCCACAATGTATGTATTACATACACTGAGGAAACCTGCAGGAAAGAAACCTATGGAATCTTGCCTTTCCCAGACCTGCTCAAACAAACAGTTGACTTTTTTCCACGTAACATGGTCACATTCCATAGAACACTCTTTCAAATGCTGTTGGAGGAGGCCATCCTGAAGCATCAGATTGAAACAAGGTCCGTGAGCTCTTAGACCACCTTCCCTTCACCACCCTGTAGCCTGGTGGGAAATGATGGGGGTCCCTCAGCCCCAGGCAAGATCAGCTCCAAGAGCCTCAGGTACCAGCAAATGAAGGTGTGGACACCCTCCTCCCCTACCCAAGTTGGGAGTGGGCCTGCCCACAGAGCCACAAAGCCCCTCACAACAGTCCTTCCAGAGCTCCACTCCGCACTCCCCCCAGGCACAAGCAACTCCATCCCACGTCATCCTTCAGCCACAACGGAAAACGTGCCCAGGACACTGACAACGCTCAAAGATAATGTCCCGTACCATACAAAACAGGGAAAGGTCTTTATTGGTCAGACACTGTCGCCCGGACGAGCAGCAGTGCTAGAGGTACAGAATGTTGTGTGTTGGGGGAACACTTTTAACGGACTCTATACCTAACGTTACATAAACGGAGAACATCTTGTTCCTTACAGAGGAGGAAGCCATCTCTAACAGACAGTAATGTACCATTACCACTTTAACACAGCATATAGATATATGCATACATGGATAGATTATATAATTATTTATTACAAATAAACTAGTTTCACATCTCTCAAAAATGGATCCTGTTTTTACATGTATGTTCAGGTTCTGAATGTACAAGGGCCATGTGCTTAGTTCGTCCATGCAAAGCTCATACATATATCACTAAGTACTTTAAAAATAGAATGGTCTCCTTTTAGACAAATCTGTCTAGATTTAGGATTAGTAAAACGGTATGAAACTAATGAAATACATGGATAGGAATTAGGAAGTGATACATACTGATGGTTCTGGGTATGTAAAGGGCTGAGGGACAAAAGGATATAGTCTTCCCTTAAAATCTGCCAGGAGATGAGAAACTTGAACCAGGAGGTGGCTGGGGCCACATGGAGTCCAGAGGAGGTGGGTCTGGTCAGTTGCTATCCATTTCAGGCTCGGAGCACCACAAAACAACGTTCTGCCAAGCAGAGATGTTATGCTACCCACAAGGACCTTTTCACTCCAGAAAATAGAAAAGGTCAGTTCCCACTGGAAATGGGGAAACCCGTCTCCCCTCCTGCACACATTGTCCTAAGGTGTTTGACGGGGGCAGTGGAGCAAGGGGGAGCAGTGCAGACCAACCTGCCGGCCAGACCTCATTCCCATGAGCACAAACTTTCCAAAAAAGAAATTGGATGTTCCGTTAAATATTGGCACCATCTGCCTGTGTGGAAACCTCTCATTGTCCTGACAGTCTTCAGGCGGATGCAGAGCTGCTGGCTCTGGCCACCTTCACTCAAACATCTCGTAGTGGCGCGTCTGCCTCACCCTGGGCACCATGTCAATGAGGAGCCTGCAAAGAGGAAACAGACAGGTCACCCCAACACACCCTCCACAGCCCTGGGGTTTGAGCGCTTGGAGAAGCAGCCAGGAGGCACTTTTTTACATGTATATAAGTCACATATCATGAAATCCACCCTTTAAAGTGTATAATTCAGTGGGTTTTAGTATATGCATAGGTTGTACAACCATGATTACCATCTAATTCCAGAACATTCTCATCACCCCAAAAAGAAACCCCATACCCAGCAGCAGTCACTCCACCTCCCCCTGGAAACAACTAATCTATTTTCAATCTCTATGGATTTGCCTATTCTGAATATTTCCTCTAAATCATTTGAGATGTGGCCTCTCATAACTAGCTTCTTTCATTTGGCAGAATGTTTGAGGTTCCCCCACCTTGTAGCATAGATCAGTACTTCATTCTTTTTATGGCTAAATAACACTCCGCCGTATGTCTCTACCACATTTTACTCATCCATTCATCAGTTAACAGACATTTGGGGTGTTTCTACTTTTTGCCTACCAAGAATAATGCCGCTATGAATGTTCACGTACAAGCTTTTGTGTGGATGCATTTTCATTTCTCTGGAGTATTCACCAAGGAGTGGAATTGCTGGGTCAAATGGTAACTCCACAGGGAACATTTTGAGGAACTACCCAACTGTTTCCAAAGCAGATGCACCATTTCACATTCCCACCAGCAACGGATGAGGGTTCTAATTTCTCCACATCCTCACCAACACTTACTGTCTTTTGATTAGAGCCATCCTAGTGGGAGACAGGAAGCATTTTAACATTTAAAAACTCAGTGCCTTTTACAAACGGTTCTCTCAAAGGCCGACTCCAGCCCGGATGTTGGATATGGAGTCAGCGATGCCTGCGCACCACTTCTTCAGTGTGAGGACCCACAGTGGGCTAGGACCCAAGGCCCAGGGTGGGTTTGTCCTCAGCGTGGCCCTTCTACACTGACAAGTCCCTTTTGTAGAGTTCTCTGAGTGTGGGGGCCCAGCCTCCCTGCTCTCGCTGTAGCATTGCCCACATGTAGCAGGTGGCAGAAGAGGCCTCACCCGTGAGGACCTGCCTGGTGCATCATGAAAACCCCCATTACAGAGAAAGAAAGGGGCACAAATCTTCAGGCACAAAGGGTTACAGGGAGGACCATAGAGCAAACTATAAAAACAGACAGAGAAGTAAAGGAGGCCTTTGTCACTTAAGGCCTAGGCCTCTTGTCAAAGTCCTTGCCTCACTTCTGTGCCAGCCACAAGAATATCTGACTCCTGCTGGGGGCTTTTCCAGTCACCTGACCTCAGCCAGGCCCAGGAAGGTCACAGGTACAAAACGTGACCATCAGGGGTGGGAAGCACAGCCCTCCTGGCCGAGGGGAAGCAAAGATGAAGGCAGGAACTTACTTGACCCCATAGGCAAATATGGTGAGGCCGATCAGCACACCTATGCTGCCATCCAAGTACCAGACCGCCGAGTTATGCTTGAACACTTCCGCACTCAGAAGAATGGAGAAGCCCATCACGCCACCCACGAGGGAGTTAAACCCTGGAGAAGAAGCAAAGAGAGGCTGACAGCAGTGCCAACCAAATTTTCTTAGTGCAAGAAAACTACCCAAATGCCAGGCATACCTCCACGTTCCAGAGCATGTGCTGGAAGGAACGTTGCCCAGAAGTGCTCTAGTGGGTGATAGCTACCACCTGAGGTACCTACATGGCTTGTCAAGTCTCCACTCAAATGTCACCAGAGTCCTCCCTGGATAGAGCCATCACCCCATGGTCAGTCTCCATCCCCTGCCTGGCACTTATGCCTGCATGACATAGCCTGTGTGTGTGGGTATTGGCGATCTTCCCATGCCTACTAGAAGGCAGAGTGTGAGAAGGGGCTTCCATCCCTGTAGAACCCACAGTGTCCAAAACAGTGCCTGGCACACAGGAGACATTCCTGGTGACTCAAATCTGTTGAATGTCTACTGGGCCAAGTCCAGAGCTGGGATTGTCTCAATCCCATGAAGCGAGATTATTATCCCCATTTACCGATGAGAGTACTAGGTTAAGCAGAGTGAGGGTTAATAAATTGACCAAAGTTGTACAAATAGAGAGGGGCAGGGCCGGGGTTCTATCTGAACCCATGTCCTTTCCTTCCAGAGTCTCCTTAAGTCACCTGAGGACTTTCACTCCCCAGGAGGAGAAATACAAAGTCTAGAATTAACCACATGGCTGCAGAAATGGCCGTCGAGATAGAACTGGAGCCAATAGGTATTGATCATCGCTTGCATATGTTACCTCATTTGGTCCCCACAGTTTAGGAGTCACACTTCCATATTACGTGTGAGTCTTCAAAGGCCACACAGGCAAGGAAAGGCTTAGAGTGGCTCCTGGGGTCTCGCTGTGGTGTAAGCCACAAGGCCCTTGCCGCCCTCAGCATAATGGTGGCCCGGAGAGAAGCTCCAGGTCCCTGCTGCCCCCTCGCAGCTGGTCTGTGCACGGCCAGTGACCTCTCCAGCAACAGGCCTGTCCTGGGGCAGCTCTGCCTGCAGAGTAGTGCTGTGCTTTTGAGGAACTCAAAAACATTAACTCTAGGATCAAGCAGGAAAATTGAGATTAAACAACCTTAAATACATTCCCTGGGGGCTGGACACCTTGGGGAGAGGTTCTAAATGAAGAGTACGGAGAGTATGGGATAGAGATGATCAGACCAAAGCCTGGTAAGACCCCTTTCTCAGGATCCAAAGGGCGGACTCCAGCAGGGTGCTCCCCGATAATGGGGACCTGGGCCCACAAGGGCCTCTCTGATCGATATTGCATCACCCCTCTTCCCTTCCCTAGCATCTCCGCCATCTCCCCACTCCAATGCTCAGTGGATGACTCCGCCTCGTATTGCTCAGAGCACATACGTTCAGACAACGAAACCTCATCTTCCCGACATCAAATCCACCCCAACCTGTGCCTGCTGCCCCCACATCCTCAGCTGCTTCTCTGTTATCCCTGCTCCTGTCTAAGACTAACTCCTTCAAACCTGTTCCCCAAAGGGCTTTGTTCTTGAAATTCGCCCTCTCGTGGATCCTTCCCGTGGGGAGAAATCTTACTATCACCCACCTCAAACTCCTTCCTTGACTCCACGCTACCCCCACCACAACCCCATTCACTATCGCCCTTCACGAAACTCCTTCAAGAGTTGTCCACCCCGGCTGACTCCACATCCATCCCTCCTCCCCACTGCCCTCCCTGAGGTCATCGAAGACTCCATGCTGACACACGCCAAGGTTAATTCCTGGTCCTCATCTTACGTCCGTCTTCCTGGGAACTCTTCTTTGGCCTTCCCTGACACTGCTGGCTCTCCTCTTTCCACTCCAGCTATTCTTTCTCAGTCTCCTCTGCTAGATCCTCCTCTCTTCCCCATCTGAGTGCCCAGCTCAGCCCTCTGAACTCTCTTCTATCTACATTCTCCTCCTTGGTTATCGCCTCCAATCCCATAAGCCAGTGTCTCCCAACTTCCTCTCTTTTGTCCTGACCTCTCCCCTCAGCTGCAGACTCATTCATATAAGCATCTCAAACTGAACATGTTCAAAATAAAAATCTCCATTTCTGCCCCCAAATACCTCACCCTCTAGCCAGCTTCTCTGTAAATGGTGCCACTGTCCACCCAGCTGCCGGTGCTAAAAATCTAGGAGCCCATTCTTGACTTCTCTCATACCCCAAATCCAATCAATCGCCAGTCTAACCAATCCATCAAGTAGTGCTTGCCAACTGTTACCTCCAAAACTCATTCTCAGCCTCTCACCCCCGCCCCCGCCCCACCCTGGCTCAAGCCACCCCATCCCCTGCCTGCACCCCTGCAACAGCCTCTTCAACACCTCCCCTGCTTCCCCTCCTGTCCACATCTCCCTCCACCACAATCCACTCCTCTCACAGCAGCCAGAAAGCCAGAGCGACCTTGGTAAGCGGACAGCAACCAAAACCCTCCAAAAGAATAGCCGCCCAGTTTTGAATCAAACTCTTCACGGCTGACAAGACCTGATGTGATCAGCCCTCCTGCCCCTCCCACATCGTGGCCATGGCTCCCTTCCTCGTTCACTGTGCTCTGGTCACAACACCTACAACAGCCAACCCTGGCCTCCCCACTTTGGGCTCACCACCCGTCAGCCCACACCCCTCCTCCTGGGGTCTCCCATCGCTGCCACGTTCCCAGCCTGAATTCTGACACCCTCAGAGAACCTAAGGCGCTTCCTCTTTACCTCGGCCACACCCTCCAACCTTCTCGTCCTTACTGCTGCTTTGTTTTTCTCCATAGCTCTTCACTTCATAACACGGTTATGTTTACCATTTTTCTTTTCACAACCATCTCTTTGCCACTAGAACATAGGCTTAAGGACAGAGATTTTGCCTCTTCTTGCCGTATTCCAAGTCCCAGGACAGGGGATGGCACTTCTCTGGCTCAACTGATTGCTGCATTGATTCATGAATGAGCAGATGGAGAGGAAGGCATGGGTCATGGCCTCACCGGTGCTAAGAGGGCTCCCACTCTGCAGCAGCAGCCAGGCGGAGCTGTCCTGAGAGAGAGGAAGCCAGTGCCCGTGCCCAGGCTCTGGTGGGGCCTGTGGCTAGAGCTCTGGGGAGACTGCCAGCAAGAGGGGGTTTGGAGCCTGGCCCAGGGTTCACTCCTGAACTGCAGGGTGTGGCCTGGGGCTCCCTGGAAAGTCAACCTCCACACTCCCTTCTGAGGCTCTTTGTAAGGTTCACCCCTGATGGACCCTTCCAACCCAATTTCACGAGCTTCAAGGTGACAAGAAGGGACTAGGAAAGGCAAACTCCCCAGTCTTCCTCCCACTCGGAGGCCGCATCCTCCAGAAGCCAGCCCAGGGAACTGTGTTGAGAGAGAAGCCAGGACTTGCTGGGAGCCTGGGGCTCGTGAGGGCTTTTCTAGGTAGGGTGCCTACCTGCCCACCACCCCCAGTGAGCACCTCCACCCATTACCCACTGGGGCCCCCTCTGCAGGACAGCCAGCCTGATGGAGAGCTTTCTGTAGATGCCCTGAGAGAGCGAGAGTGGGGCGGAGGTGCGGACTTTAGCTCCACCTGAGATGTGCCTCACCAAGTCCTGAGGCCACTTCTCCAAGTCTTCCACCTCTGACCATGGAGGCGAGGGACAGGTGGGCCCGCTCCCTGGGCAGCCTCCTGGCTTCCCCTTCTCAGGGTGGCCCAGAGCCAAGGCTGCAGGCTGGGCCCCCGGGGAGTTTGTTTCTGTGGCTTCTCCACGCTCACTCACCTCTGGACAATGAAGAAACCTGCCCAGCATCCTTTCAGCCTCTGCTCTCCATGCAGTTCATGTAGCTGACTCTCCTAAGCCCACATGTTTTAAAAGCACAATGGCCCACCTGCAGCCTTTTGTCGCCACAATGGAAAGCTCTGAGCCAGTTGGGTCCTTCCCAGCCCCTTGCATACAGAGCATATTGGGACTTCCTCCCTCTCCGACCCGCCCATGGGTTGTGGCCTCTGCATATCACACCCTCAATTCTGCCTCCACATCTCCCAAAGCAGGGGGGCAGCAGGGCCACTCTGAGAAGGGGAGGCTGATTTCCCTCCCGACTTCTCTACATCAAGGTCATCCCTCCCCTCTCCTGTTACGAGAGGCTGGTGTTTACCCTCTTGCCTCTGGTTGTCCCTGGAATCTTTTAACAGGTGGAATCAGACGAGTCTTCAAAAAACAAATCTCTGCAGCCATCGTTTCTCAGAAGGCCACGAAAAGCATCAGCAGAGGCCACAACATTGTCACTGGCTCCCTGGGCTCATCGAGCATTCTCAAAGTTGGGAGAATTTTGTTTTGGGGTGGCTAGAGGAAAGGGAGAGACAAGGAGGAGATGGGCGCTGCCCCAGGACAGACTGGAATCCTTCACTCCCCTCTGTACATCTTGGTCACGGCACAAGTGGGCCCCGGGAGCCCTCAGAGAATCCGGTGGAGCTCAGAAAGGCTGCAGAGAGCATGTGAGGTTCCCCAGATCGCCACTAGATGTCCACTCAGCTCCACCAAGTCACTCCACTCTGCAAGCTGAGGACAGCCCAGCCTCTGATATCTGACAGCAGGGCCCACCCATGCGTGCTCCCACCCATGTGTGCTCCCGAGAGTTCACAGCTGATTTGCAGTGTGTTCACATTCCAGGAGGAGCCTCTGACCTGCTTAGCTCCACTCACCCTTGGTTATGACAGAGCCTGACTCACTTCAGCCTCACCTGTAAACCTGCATGAGAACGCTGGAAGGAGCATGCAGGGACAGGGGCTTGGTGCCTTTCTGCCCTGCCACATCCTTCGTAACCTGAGAGCCTTCCCAGCCGCAGCCATTCCACACTCAAGACCCTGAGCTCACAGCCCTGCCCACCAGACCACCCTTCTTCTCACACAGCACACAAGGCCTTATGGGTCACTCACCTCTGGGGAGTTGTCCTCACCCCACACAGGCCCACAAGCTTGTTCCTGTCCCCTCAGTTAAAACCAGAGCTGTTGCAAGGAATAAATGCTGTCATCAGTTTAAGAACACAAAATAATGCCTGAGGCTATCTTGATCAGAGGCTCCACTAGTCTTGCCTTAATAACAGATAAGAGTCTGTATAATTAAGCAAATTAATTTTATGCAGAAAATTCTGATTCAAAGTTTTTCACGTGCTTGAAAACCCTCAGAGACTCTTAGTGAGTACAGCCTGCCGGGGCCCCTCAACTCAGAGAGGTTTCCAGCCCCCCGGCGGGCAGCACTGGAGCCGGGCTCCTGGCCCGAGTTCAGAGCTCTCTCCAGGTACTTTCCACACTCTCCCTCTGTCTGATTTGTAGTATCAACTTGCTCTACAAAATCACTTTACCTTAAATAATGCAGAGCCATCTTCAGCCTAGTCCTAGCAGCAACGATTGCATGTAGACTAAATAGCCAAAGACACAAAACCAAATTCGACAAGATTTTTACTGCGCTGCATGGCACAGAGTGGGGAGGTCTGGAATTTACCCACCTCCTGCTGCCCCCCTTTCCCTGAAGACCTTCTTCCTGGCTGTAAGGACACAACCCAGCAAGACAAAGGCTCTGGTGGAGTCAGCCCAACCCAGTTCACACACAGCTCGAGCCTGGGAAGCAGCCACCTCCCCACTGACGGGGGAGGCCTGCCCTCCCTCCCTGCACCAGAAGCCGTTTGCTGGACTTGCTTCCTGCTTGGAGAGAAAGTGCCTGGCCTGTCCACTGCCCTGGCCAGACCCTGAGAGGGGCATGCCCAGCATAGTGGCCACAGCGGATGCACTCCAGAGCCAGCCCCTCAGAAAACCCTCAATATTAGTGATAGGCATGGTCTGGAATCCCATCCTGCCCCCTACCTCCAAATGGAGGGAAGAACTGAGAGGAGATAATTACAGATGGTTCCCTAGTTCTGCTCATCAAGGAAGGAGTGAAACTGGGATCCCAGACAATACAATCAGCAGGAGGCTGGAATTACTGCCCCAGATTTTGCTGACACTCCCACCAAGCGACTGCAGAGCACACGGACCCCCCACCTGCCCTGGGGCCCCTTATGGGGAACAGGCTTAGGGATGGGGGTGCTGCCTCGGCTCTTTGCAGTGGTGCTGTCTTTCTGTCTGTGTCTGTCTGTCTCTCTCTCACCAACCCCCATGGCCAATGCATCCCCAAGCCCTGCCCATTTTATTAATATCGCCAACATTTCCTCAAATCCCCTACATCCTCACCCCTCGGCCCTCACCACCGGCCATACCACCGCCTTCCCCTCAGCTCCCCAAGACCTCTCCCCACGTCAGCCCTTGTTCCTTCCACTCTGTTCCACCTTTACGGCCAAGGGGCTCATTAGAAAACATCCATCACATTACCTCATTTGTTTAAATATTTGGCAAAATATCCAAAATCCTACCCTTCACCTAACATCCTTCATGACCTGCCCTTGCCCACCGTCGGGGCCCCTGATTCTGCGTGCCCCCTTCCTCACGCGCCCCCGCAGATGCCCCAGGTTCTCTCCCACAATTCCCTCTGCCTGAGAGCCTTCTTCCCCACTTTCCACCTGTTTGTGGAACAATTTTCACTGAAACCATCCACTTCCATTTTAATGACCCCTCCCTGGTTCAAGAGCATGATGGAAATACTGCTTACGCGTGTGGACAGTTTTGTGTGTGAAAATCACAAAGTCAGAAGTTATTTCATTAGAAAAAACAGACTCATCTTCTCTGTACACCAAGTAAAATGGCGAGAAGTTAGAAGAACAGTGAAGCCTAAAAGAAACTTGGTATCTGGAATATCTGTAAGACGTTCAGTAGAACCACCAGTCAAGGCATAGGGCCCACTGCTCTGAGAAGGGGGTCGAGCCCCATGGTCACGGGTGGGGAGGGGGACACAGCCTCCTGCCTGAGGGCCTGAAGGGAGGCACGCGGGGGAGGGAGGTGTCTGACTGCTGGGTGCACACTCAGGCTTCCACAGGGCACTTCCTGTGTCTGGACTGGGGTCACCTGAACAGATACAACGCCAGTACTCTGAGAGGCTTTGTGACTTAAGGGTCCAACTCGGATCTGAGAGAGGAACCCCAGAGTTCTGACCACTGGGAGCCTAGAAAACTGTGCTGACCGGTGCAGCCCCCGACCCAGGCCTGCCTTCCCCATTCTGCATGTTGCTGATAAAGAGACACAGAGAGAGGGGCACAGAACACACCGCAGGGGAAGCCAAATCCAGCCAGGCCTCTGCTCTGCTCAGGCCTAACGGGCCCAGGCAGAGCTGTGTCCCTCAGAGCAGCATGAAAGAACCTCGAAGGTGGCTGGAACACCCACCTCTAAACCCCTGGTTAAGGCGGACGCGGCTCTCAGCACAAGCACCCCTGCGCCGCTCACCCCTAAGGAAAGGAGGACCCCACAGCCAAAGGAGGTATTTTCTTTTCAGACGAAAAAGCAGCAGACCAGAAAAATCACAGGATTGAACATTTCTCCCCAAATTCTGGGTCTGACCCAGAGAGGAAAGGGCACCGAGATGGGCCAGGGTCTCGTGGGACAATTAGGGTCAGACTGCAAACTGCCCATGAATCCATTGTCTCAGTGGGTGACAGAGACCTCAGGAGATGTGGGCAGGCTGTGCCCTCAGGCGGGCCTGCATCGTTCCCATGGGACAGAACCGCAAGGTCTTCAGGTCCGGCTCTGATAGACAGAGCGATCCATATATGTCAGAGGGGTGATGTAACTCAGTTGCAACCCCACTCTCGGGGACCAGGCAGGACTGTTCACACCAACAGGACAGACACCTGAGAGGGGTAATTCTGACTCTGCCTTAGGAGCTGTTTCCCCAGCTAACATGGCACCACCCACAGCACCAGGCACAAGAGAATTCTGTAACCCCCCAGTCCAGTGTGACTGCAGCATCAGGATCTAATTCCAGCAAACCAGACCTGAGGTCAGCTGAATCCCAACTGCACTCGGCCTGATGGAGGAAAGCAGCCTCAGGGCTTCATCTGGAGCTGGAGGAGCCGGGCTGGGCCGCCTGGGACACACAGGGGCCTTCACGCCGCTTGAAAGCAGAGCAGGGAACAGGACGGCTCAACCCCGGCAGCCACTCCGCCTCCTCTCTTAAACAGCTGCAACTGTTTAAAAAGTTTTCGTTTCATCTGGGCAAATGGGCTCTGCAGCCCAGGGAGAGAGGCGGCATCTCGCAGGGGTGGAAGCAAAGAGTGAGCCCTAGAAACGCTCACTAGAGGAAGGATTCTGAGAGCTGTTGGTCGAAACGGCATATAGGAGCACTGCACACTGCAGGGTCCACCTTCCCTGGTGGCAGTGTGTCCTGAGGACTGGCCACGGAGGCAGCAGCAAACCTCAGTGTGCACCGTGGACTGGGCGCTGGTGTAAAATGACTTCCTGGGCCCCACCTCACACTCCAGAATCAGAATCTTCAGTGGGGAGGCCCAGGAATCTGTGTGTTTAACACACACCACAAGCAGTTGTGATGCTGCCAGTGGTAGTGGTCAACAGACTAGCATGTGGGGTCCCTTGGTTTTGTAGTCAGCCTATCAGATCATATAACCCCAACTTCTTCAGGACTGTTCAAAGGAACCCACCCATATACATACACACAGGCGATGCTACTCCAGGGCAGTGCAGTCGAAAAGCTGGCAACCTCACTGTGACTCCCTGCCCACCTGCCCCGCTCCACACACAGCAGGGCATCAGGACGAGGAGTCAAAGCCCGCACGTGTCACCATGCTTTGTCACCTGGGAGAGAAGAGCCCTCTGCACTGCCACCCGCCCCGTCCACAACAGAACAGCAGCCACCCACACACATCTGCATTGAGGTATTTCACATAGGCGAGAACCTTCAGAGTTTAGGGGGTAAAGTGGTTCGTTTCTTAAAAAAGAAATGCAACAATTTCTGCTCTATTTTGTGCAGACACACCCACCAACCCACAAGTTTTCACCCTTTGACCTCCCATCCCACAGTACGGGGGCTCACCGCTCTACTCCTGATCCCCTGCACACACTCAGGAATGAAGACAAAGAAAATGAGCAGCCGACAGTGTTTGTCAAGTTTCTTGTCCCCTTGCCAGCACTAGTTGGCGGCGGTCCTACTTTCACACACCCTCCTCTGTCATTGCAAAGGCCACGCAGGAGCTCCTCCTGACCCATGGGGACACTTCTACCTGGTTTGGGTTTTAAGCAGAGAACACATGGATCCTTTGCCCAGTGAAGCCCTGGTAACTGCAGCTTAACTGCCAGGTGAGCATCTCACCAACTGGAGGGGAAAATGAGCATGGAGAATTCACAAAGGAAACTGATAGAACCCAGAAAAGACCTTTACTTCTTACGCAACGCACATGAAAGCCAAGACTCCAGGAGGTCCTTTGTGATTCATGATTAAGAGGCTGGGAGCCCCAATACACCCTGTTAAGAGCTCAGAGTGGAGGTGATGCATGAAGAGTTTATTAAATTCCCAGGTACAGGACTTCTGCCCTGATTTGGGAACGCTGAGAATCATTTAGCAGCCTGCAGAGAGGAGGACAGTGAGGAAAGGATTCCAGATTGTTGAGCTCTTCTGCAAGACAAGCAACTAAAAGTGACCCAAACAGCATCTTCCCTCATTGGGAGCTCAGCCCCCAGAGATCAGGCACCCTGGCCTTACTCACCATCTGTTATGAGTGCTCTGCTGGTCAGAACCTTCCCCAGCATAAACTTCAACACGGCCAGGATGCTGCAAAGGATCCCACTTAAAATGGAGACGCTGAACAGGAAGTCATCCTAGAAGAGAAAATTTCGGATTTCAATAGTTCACCTCCTGCTAGAGCGGATCATCTGCAAACCACTTGCCTTAAAAACCAGCTTTGTTCCCAGAACAAATAATCAGCTGGGTATGCTGCCACCAGGTGGGAGTATACTGCTTGTTTTCATACCTCAGTTACCTGTGTCGCTGAGAATTGGAAAAGAGGATCAAAACCAGATAATCCAGATTTATATTTCCTTAGAAACCCATTAAGTATTTCTTTTCCTGTGGGAGATTCTCCTTGTCACTATTCTGCTGAAATGATTGGCAATCATTGATCAATAACAGAGTTGGTCAGAATGCTAAAAACAGTGCCTTCTACGTAGTGTTTTTCCACAGATAATTCGAAAAGCAGCTGATTAAGAATTATGGACCACGTAAGTACACCACTGACCTAAGAACAGGTGAACACAGAGCCAACTGAATTTGCCACAGGGTCAATTATGGCTGAAACTATATATAACCATATTTTTTCCTTAAATTCACACAAGGCAATTGGAAGTTCAAATATATAGAGACTTCAAGGTGGGAAAAAGGTGTCTAAAAATAGTCTGCTATTGATGTTATCTTTGCACTTCCTGTAAGCTGTTACCTTACCTTTGCAAGCAAATGATTGAGTCACATATGCAAAGACGAGCGCCACTATCTCACAACAGCAGGGCCCAGTGAGCTCCTCAGCCTGGAGCTCCCATGCATCACCCCTGTGGGACACAGCCTTCAGATTCTCCTAGATTAAAATGCGACTGCCAGCAGAAATCTGATAAAGCATCATATCTACCCAAAGAAATAGGATTCCTCAAGTACTTTATTATTCAAATTCACTAACCTGGTGCCAGAAAGCTGGTGGAGGAAAGACAGTCTATTTCCTTGGGTTCAAAACTGAACAAAGTCATTTGAAAAATCACCTCCCGGGAAACAGGACATCTGCATAAGCATCAAAGCGTCTCCCCCCAGTACTGGTCAATGGTGGCTAGTTTTAACATATGTTCCCAAATCCTTTGCTACTCCTTCCTCCAGGAGGCACAGCTTAGTTCCCTCTTCCGTTGACTTTGGCCTAGACTCGTGACTGGTGTCTAACAAATACGCCGTAGAAAGGGAAAAATAGTAACTTTGAAGTGGAAAAAGCTGGCGAGCGATCTTAGCCAAGTGATCAAGATTAACATGACCATTAATAAGTGATGCTGACATCATATACCTCCTGCCATGATGTGACGTGATGAGAAGAGCATGTCTTGGTGTTCCACCCAAAACCCATAACCTCAGCTGAATCGCGAAAACACATCAAACAAACCCGTTTTGGGAGACAGTCCACAAAATACCTGAGCACTACTTTTCCCACATGTCAAGGTCCTGAAGGACCAGGAATGACTGAGAAACTGTCAAATTGGAGATAAGGAGACACGAAAACTAGAAGCAATATGGTGGCCTGGACTGGATCCTGGAACAGAAAAAGGTCATCAAGTGGAAAAGCTGGAGAAATCAGAATAGAGTCTGGAATTTAGTTAATATGTAATCGCATAGTTTGGGTAAATGTAGCCTGGTTATCTTCGTGAGATGTTAACACTGGGGGAGGCTGAATGAAGGGTACACAGGAATACTCTGTAACGTCTTCATAACTCTTTTATAAATCTAAAATTATTTCAAATTTTAAAGTTTTTTTTTAAATAATCACCTCACTAAAGTTTCACCTCTTCAAATTATCGATAAGGACTGTGCCAAACCTGGTCTCTTGGCAGATCCCAAGTCCCTGTTGTGCATGAGGTTACACAGCAGGGGCCACAGTGGGTGGGGCTGGGGTGGGGAAAGACCCCCAAATCAAAATTCCCTTTGTGCAGGGACTCAATCTAATTATGGGAGATGGCACCCACAGGAAATAGTGAGCATGATTAAGGAATCGCATATCAACATAGACCCAGCCGCTGATGGCATTCAGAAAGCCCAAGTTGGGAGACAGATTTTAAGGCTCCAAATTGGGAGGCTGAATTCATACTTTGCTCACCGCATGCCTGAAGCCTTTCTGGCTCCATTCAATCTCTCTGTTTGCAAAGCCCTCATCCCTAAATTTCCAGAGGTGGAAAAAGCCTGTGTTCACCCCATCTAGGCCCCATCTAGGTTAGGGGGACCCCTCACCTCCAGATACATCTCGAGAAGAGCCACGGTGGCTTTGCTGGTCCTCTCCTGGGTCTGCTAATCCAGGGGGCCCACCGTTGAATGGGGGGTTGCCTGCTGAAGAGCTATGACGTGCCAGCAGACCTTTGCTCAAATCTAGACTCCATCACTTACTGGGGAAACAAACCCAAGCTCTCACATCTCAATCCTGTCTTCCATAAAGGGCAGCGTGGTACCTACAGCCCCTGGCAAGTGGCTGATGTGCAGTAAAAGGCAGCAATTGTTCTTAAAGGGACCAAACACGTGATCCGTGCACTAACATTATCCATGCCACACTAGATGCTAATGGTGAGCCCCAGACAAAGTATGGCAAGCATTCCTATAAAAGAAACATAGGGAATTGACTACCTAGAAAAAAGTATGCATGGTGAAATGTAAAGAAATGTAAGAGAAGCTATGATTGGGATCCACAGTAGCTTATCAGCAGGAAGGTTTTTGGACCCACCCTTCACCTTAGAAGCTTCATCTTGGCGAAGGTTTCCATGGACTGAGTGGCTCTGAGGTCCACTTCCTGGAGGAACAGGGGGGTAGAGTTATGATATAATAAAGTAGAAGCAGTGTAGTAGCTAAAGACACTAAAGCAGAAGCCTTACTTAATAACTGAGTGACGCTGGGCAAGTCACTGAATCTCCCTCCATCTCTTCCTCCATTTCCACATCTGTAAAATGGAAAAAAGAATAGAGCTACCACCCTTGGTGGCTGTGTACTGTGTCCACAGCGATCAACAGGAACTACATTTCCCAGAATTCCCTTCCTAAGTGGTTGTGAGTCACACTTGACCACCAGGGACATCTGGGTGATATTTGGAAGACAGAAGTGAAGTGGCCCCTAGGCCCTGAAGGCAGTTGGAGGGCAGCAGGTGCTGCTGCCGCCCATGGATGTGTTGCTGGTCCACTGGCTCACCTTAGTGGAGGGGAAGGGCAGCAGCCAGGCCCACAGCTCCTCTGAGTCCCGAGCCAGGCGTGTATACAGCTTCATGGCAAAAGGCTTCTGCTGCAGGTCACCTGTGTCATCAAGGTGCAGTTCTGGTCCATCTTCATGCACCAGGTTGTCCTTGCTCTGCTTCACTCTCTGCCCATCCTTCCTTCCTGCCAGGCGGCCCTGCTGACTTCAGGCCCGGACTCTGGGGCAGAAGTCTGACAGGGCTTCTTCGGCAGCCCCCACTGTCCTGTAAGGTCTCATGCCTGCAACAAAGCCCTATTCCGTGCCCCTTGGAGTGGCTCCCTCCTCTGCTTGAATCTGACATACTGCTCCCTAAGGATGTTTCAAAAGGCTTAGACAGTGCCTGGCATACAGTAAATGGAAAAGCCAATAGGCAAAACCAGGTTTTTCCTGTCCGTGGATTATTTCTACCAACCACCCTCTGCTCCCCGGATCAGCTCTGAAGGAGCAACTGCCTTCCTGAAGTCTGGCAGCGCAGACATCGCGGCCATCCTGAAGCCTCACCCAGAGCTAGAAGGTGCTCCTCACTACTGCTGCACTCATCTGCTTCAGAAAAAAGTAAACCCTGCAAAAGAACCCACGGAGGACCCGGGACGGCCCAGACCTGCCAAACCCCCTCTCCCCAAACCAGCTTTCAGCATCCTAGAAGTTCTCTGTGATTTCCCACCCAGAGCCCACCTGGCTCTCCTCTCCTCACACAGCCACCAAGTCTATTGTTAGCATGAGCGTAACATCAGAGATGTAGTCATCAACCTGCTCAAGACATCAGTCCCTGCCACGGACTGGGGGCTTTTTAGGGGGACATAAATGTCCCATGTTGAAGCCCTAACCCCCAATGTGATGGTACTTGGAGATGAGGCCTTTGGGAGGTGATTAGGGTTAGATGGGGTCATGCAGATGGGCCCTCATGATGGGACTAGGGCCCTTATAAGAGAGATTTCTCACTCTCTCTCCACCCACACACGCTGAAGACAGGCCAGGTGAGGTCAGAGGGAGAAGGCAGCTGTCTGTCCCCCAACGAGAGATCCCTGACCAGACACTAACCCTGCCAGCACCTCGGTCTTGGAGTTCCAGTCTCCAGAACGAGGAGAAATAAATTCCCGTTGTTTAAGCCACCCAGTGTATGGCATTTTGTTATGGCAGCCCGAGCTTAGACAGTCCTGAGCGAAATAAGAGAAGGAGTTTCTGAGAGGATTCCTTCCCAAGTCAGGAAGCCAGAGCAGACGCGGCTAACGATGAGAAACCGCAACCTGAGGAGGTCGGCACCCCCGCGGACTTCTTTCAAAGTGCGGCCACAGCGATTGGGTCTCCCTCAACTCTCACAGTCTAGTCAAGCGGGCATCCGACAGACGGAGGAACAGGCACACAGAGGCTAAGGGACTTGTCCAGGGTCACTCAGCTAGGGGCAGGATCTGAATTTGTTCCCAGCTGTAAATTAGGCAAGGACGCCTCATCCATAGCTTCGTAAACATCTCTCGTTACTGAAACATGGACTCTGTAAGAACAGAGGGACCACTATTTCCTAGTTAGCTATCAGTTTCCACTGTTACCAGCAGTGGCCCTATGATTTCTCACAGCTGAATCATTACTGAATGGATAGACGATCAGGACAAAAAGATTCAAGAAAACTAGCCACTCACTCAGAAGACAAGGGTAAATGTAGTAAAGGTTAATGCTACATGAATTATGTCTGTGCTGGCAAGCTTCTTTACGATCTTGTAGTGTGAAGGCCTTTTATAACTGTCTCAAAGCCATAAACAATCAATAGACTTGACCATGTGAAAATTAAAACATGTGCAGGGGAGAGGTTATATACAAACTAGGAAAGATATTATCACAAAGGGCTAATCTCCCTAATACATAAAGA